GAAGGAAGGAAGGAAGGAAGGAGTGATGCTTCAAATAGGCCTGATGTGGTGGGGAACGGTGGCTCACATCTGTAATCCCAGCATTCTGGGAGGCCAAGGATGGGTAGATTCCTGAGCTCATGGGTTCCAGACTAGCCTGAGCAAGGAGACCCCTGCCTCTAAAAATAGCCAGGCATTGTGACGGGCACCTGTGGTCCCAGCTACTCAGGAGGCTGAGGTAGAGAATTGTTTGAGCCCAAGAGTTTGAGATTGCTGTGAGATACAATGCCATGGCACTCAACCCCAGGGTGACTGAGCGAGACTCTGTCTCAAATGAACAAACAGACAAAAAACAAACACAAAAAATCCAAATAGGCCTGAAGCAAGAAGTGGTGCTAGGAATTTTACAAACTTTTTTTTTTTTTTGCAGTGTTGGCTGGGGTCGGGCTTGAACCCGCCACCCCCAGTATATGGGGCCACCTTAAGCCACAGGTGCCGCCCTTTTACAAACAATTTTATGGGCATTAATGGAATGGATAATACTGTAAAAAATAAGGCCAGAGAAAGCTTATAAAATTTGGTTTCTCCAAGGAAGGATAGATATATACTTAAATATGGGAGATAGGCTACATTCAAATCTATTGCAAAATTATCTTTTGACAGTAATTTTTCAATATTAAGCATAGGTCAGCCTAAGTAACTCATGCCTATAATCCTACCACTCTAGGAAGCCAAGGCAGGAGGATCCCCTGAGCTCAGGATGTCGAGACCAGTCTGAGCAAGAGCAAGACTCTGTTTCAACTAAAAATAGATAAATTAGCCAGGCTTGGTGGTAGAAGTCTATAGTCCAGCTACTCTGGAGGCTGAGACAGGAGGATTGCTTGAGCCCAGGAGTTTGAGTTGCTGTGAGCTAAGATGCCACGACACTCTAGCCCGAGTGCCAGAGAAACAGATGTCATTGGCACCCAGAACCATATTCCCACCCCCACTCCAAGTCTATTCCATCCCAAACAATAAAAAAAAATTAAATTGAGACTCTGTCTCAAAAAAAAAAATTTGTAAACTATGATTAGAAGTGAAACTTTGGGCTCGGCGCCTATAGCTCAACCGGCTAAGGCGCCAGCCACGTACACCTAAGGTGGCGGGTTCGAATCCCCAGCCCGGACC